AAAAAGTGAAAAATATTAAAAAAAAAAAAAAAAAAAAAAAAAAAAAAAAAAAAAAAACAAAGGTGACACAAACTCAAAAAAAAAAAAATGACAAACATCAAAATAACATCATCCATTTGGGTAACACCAGTAATCATGTTCTAGACATAATCAGCGTGTCCAGGACAATCCACGTGAGCATAGTGACGATTCTTAACATAATTAGAATGTCTAGGACAATACACGTGCTGATTATCTTAGGAAAATGTCACATATCATGTCACATTTTTAAGAAGATAAAAAAGTGACAAAAATTTAAAAGGTGAGAAACTCAAAAAAAAGTTTTTTGAAAGAAAAAATATTGTGTAAATGTAAAAGTGACAGAATGTCACTTTTTTTAACACAATCTAAAAAAAAAAAAAAAAAATTTATCAGCCAAGAAATAAAAAAAAAAAGGGAAAAAAAAAAAAAAAAAAAAAGGGTGCACAACTCAACTTCCAATCTCGCCAAGTTTCCATAAATACCATTTAGCAAGAAGGTCAACTAACAGTCTCAAGAACTTTTTCTAAAAACACATCTTTTCTTAGTTAGCCAAGTGTTGGAGATTGTCTAAGCCAAAGGAAGGTAAGCTTAAGGACTCACCTTTAGCCCTTCATAGACTTTATGTAATCCTCAGGCAAGTAGATTTCTCCTCCAACCTCACCATGTTGCTCCCCGCTGATAGTTTTCTTCGCAGCTAGGAACTCAGCACTCATAGAAGCCATACCCTGCTGGACCGCTTCCTCTGCACTCCCATAACCATGCTCCTCTGCGTATTTTCTTACATCCTCAGTAATCTTCATGGAACAAAACTTAGGCCCACACATAGAACAGAAATGTGCCACCTTTGCACCATCAGATGGTAGGGTTTCATCATGGAAGGACAATGCAGTCACAGGGTCCAGTGACAAAGCAAATTGATCCATCCATCGGAACTCAAATCTAGCCTTGCTCAGTGTATCATCCCAAGCTTGAGCATGTGGGTGACCTTTTGCCAAATCAGCAGCATGTGCGGCTATCTTATATGCTATAACCCCAGCCTTCACATCGTCTCGATTAGGCAAACCAAGATGTTCTTTGGGAGTCACATAACAAAGAAGTGCTGTGCCAAGAGCCCCAATATTGGCAGCACCAATGGCTGATGTAATATGATCATATCCAGGAGCAATATCAGTTGTCAAAGGTCCAAGAGTGTAGAATGGTGCTTCATTACACCATTCCAGCTGTTTCTGCATATTCTCAGGAATCTTGTGCATTGGGATATGGCCAGGCCCTTCATTCATGACCTGAACGCATAGATAATACAATCTTAATAGCAATGGTAGGCAGACAAAGAAGTTTCCTAATACATGAAGGATACATAAAAAAAAATGGCGCCACAGTGAGTTAAAACTATGATATGATTTTTCAGAAATAGGGGAATATTCAGGATTTACTAGGGAACAATTATATACCAATATATTATAAAATGTGAATCAAATTTTACCTGTACATCCTTTTCCCAAGCTCTACGGGTAAGTTCTCCTTGAGTTAAGAGCTCTGCAAACTGAGCAGTATCATTTGCATCATATATTGACCCAGGCCTCAATCCATCACCAATTGACAAAGATATGTCATATTGATTACAGATGTCCAGTATCTCATCCCAATGTTCATAAGCAAAGTTCTCTTTGTGATAAGCTAAGCACCACTTGGCATGAATGGATCCCCCACGAGAAACTATTCCAGTCATTCGTTTGGCTGTTAGTGGGATGTACCGGAGCAGGACTCCAGCATGGATTGTAAAATAATCCACACCTTGCTCAGCCTGTTCAATCAGTGTTTCCCTAAAAACTTCCCAATTCAGATTCTCTGCAATGCCATTCACTTTCTCCAATGCTTGATAAATGGGCACAGTCCCAACAGGTACAGCAGAGTTACGAAGGATCCATTCACGGGTTTCATGGATGTGACGGCCTGTTGAGAGATCCATAATGGTATCAGCACCCCACATTGTTGCCCATTGAAGCTTGTGAACTTCTTCCTCAATGGAGCTCACAACAGCAGAGTTCCCAATATTAGCATTCACTTTCACCAAGAAATTGCGCCCAACTATCATTGGCTCCAACTCTGTATGCTTCTTGTTAGACGGAATAATTGCACGACCACGAGCAACTTCTGATCTCACAAATTCTGGGTCAAGTTTCTCACGAGCAGCACAGTATGCCATTTCTTCTGTTATAATTCCTTGCTTAGCATAGAACATCTGCGTATACCTAGGACCACCCAACTTCTCCCTCCTGTCAATCCACTCCTTCCGCAACTTGGGGAGTCCTGTTTAACAACAACATTCCTAATAGATATAAGAAAGCTGAAGAATGCAATAGAAAGTTTAACAATAAACTTAAAATGCAGTGAAGGAATATCAGAAATGAGAAAACTAATGCTAGAGTAATATCATCTGTCAATGATCAAGATACACTTCCAGAAAGACAGTGATGATATTTCAGAAATAAGTTATTTTGAGAAATCAATAATAAATAACCTAGCTAGAATCTTTTGCATATCTAAATATTTTCAGAACAGTAAAGAAATAGAGATGTGGAATATTTCATACGCATACCAGTGCGAGGGCTTATGTTCTGAGGACCACTTGTGTCATAGGTATCAAAATGTGGTTCATCTCCTGCTAGGTGGATGCGTCGAAATGGAACTTTGAGCAAATGACCAGATTGCTCATGAATGACTTCCCTGAAAATCAAATTCACAGGATCAAACATCTGAGAAAATGCACACAAGAGAGAAACATATGTACGCATGCTCGGATCTCTGTTCAAGCATGTCTGTGTGCAATTGTGAAGTGGGAAATTGTAAATAAGATGACAGAAAATTTTGAAACCACAAACACGCAGATAGTTTGGCAGAACTCACGTGTATTCTTTAGAGCTTCTTGGGAAGCATTCCTGAAAGGATGGAAGCGGAAGAAAATCAGGAGCATTAGGATCAACTGTGTGCTTCCGTTGCTTAGGCTTTTCTGTATTGGTAGTAGGGGGATCAAAGGTTAATGTAGCTTTGGGGCCTGAAAAAGAAGAGGACCACATGCCCCTTCTCCATAAGCCAGCAATGTGCACAGTCACATCAATCCCAGACAAGAACGAACTGTTAGGAAACTTCAAGGGAGCAGAGTTATTCCCATTATTTCCAACAACTGATGTCAAAGTAGTTTGCATAGCAGCCATCTCTGGAAGTTCAATCAGGATATGAAACAAGATAGTCAATATTTAACGAATTAATTCCATATACATGAATCACAATTAGGAGGTTTCAAACTATAATCTGAAGAACAAAGTAACCCAAAATGTAATGATTTTGATCATACCGTGTAGATGAAATATCTCATATATCATTTTAATCATCTTTGATGCATATAATTTCTCAACCATTAATCAAAGCAATGAATGCAACCTATCGGAGTTCCAACCAAAAGGGATGATGATAGCAAAGATGAATCTTCGCTGAAAATCCATCTCAGAATTTTCAACCTACTACTTAAATTTATTTCATTATGCTTTATATGCAAACAAATGTATGCTGCTAGTCTTTTTCTACACATACACATACATTTCGTACTATTTTGTAAAATAAAACTGACTCTTGATAATGCAAATAAAAACTGCCAGAAGAAGTACTCTGATCTAAGGAGGCTTTTCTTCAGGCCTCCTCTGGCATTGTTCACATTTGGCTAGATAAATTAGCAACCATCAAAAGCTTCAACATAAGCATGCCTAAAGACTCCTGAAGATAATACCTTGAACTACACTCCAAATTTTTCTAGAGAGAACTCATTTGAAAAGTCGATTTGCTAAATTAGAGTGTGAACACTGAGAATAGGGGTATACAAGTGAACCAACTAGAATTGATCCATGACCATTGACTGCTAAACTATGTTGGGTTTGTGACCCAAATTAGGGTGGATTTTTTTTATTATTTTTTTTATTATTTTTTATTTTTTTTGAAATAAATTGTTTCCTTATTTTCATGTGGGAAAATTTGTTTCCTTATATTTCACATAATTTTTATAAAAATATATTATTTCCTTATTCCACATTATTTCTATTTTTATGCTATGTCATGCACCTATAAATAGTGGTATTTTCTTTCAGTTTTGTTCAAGCAAGAATTGCTGAATTCTTGTATCTCTCCATATTATTAGGTAATATACATCGTTCCTCTGTTATTAACTCTCTTTGTTAATTTTCTTACTTTTAAATTTTATTTCTCGTTGCGATCTTCATTACTTCATATCGCATCATTTAGTCTCATTCACTATAATCCTTCCGGATCCAACAAGTGGTATCAGAGCTTGGTTCTTCTTCTAAGGATTGGTTGAGGTTTTTTCATAAATGACTACCATGAAGTATGACATTCCGCTGCTCGATCGCAATACAAGGTATTCTTTGTGGCAAGTAAAAATGAGGACTATTCTGGCGCAATTGGATTTGGACAATGCGCTACTGGACTTTAAGAAGATGCCAGCTAATTGGACAACGGAAGAGAAACAACGGAGGGATTAGAAGGCTTTGTCATTGATTTATCTTCATCTATCCAACAATATTTTGCAGGATATCTTAAAGGAAAAAACAGCAGCTGCTTTGCGGTTGAAACTGGAGCAGTTATGTATGACCAAGATTCTTATCAGTAAACTGGCTCTAAAGCAGAAACTATATCCCATCGCATAGCGGAAGGAGAGTCGTTTGAAGACCATATTGCCATGTTCAAGGAAATTATCGCAAATTTGAAAACATTGGACGTTAAGTATGATGAAGAGGATCTTGCCTTGATCCTGTTATGTTTGCTGCCTGGCTCTTGTGCGTCGTTTTGGGACATCATTTTGTATAGTCGGGATATTCTGACTATAGACGACATCTATGATGTTTTGCACTCAAAGGAGAAGTTGAACCATTTGGTTGAAACTACATCGAGGAATAAGAAAGCTCTTGTATCTCTCGACAAAGGGACAAATCAAAGAATAACAACAATTTGTTTTGCTTCTACTGCAAACATAAGGGACATATTCGGAAGGATTGTGATAAATTGCAGGCTTTATGATTTAGCTGCAAATCGTGGAGCGCAACCTTCGACTTCGGACGAAACAAATGCAGTTGAGAATTTTTCAGACGACGGAGATGTAATGTTGACTGTGGTATCTAACATGGAATCTAGGCTTGACGATGAGTGGATTCTCGATTTAGCATGTTCGCATCATATGTGTTCTAATCGAAATTTCTTTCAGACATATGAGGCTGTCAAGCAAGGTGGAGTTGTGATAGGAAATAACCAATTTTGACGTGTTGATGGAATCGGTCGAGTCAGATTAAAGTTGCAGGGTGGGACAGTCAGAACAATTGATAAGTTCGACATGCTCCAAACCTGAAAAGAGATCTCATCTCACTTAGTACTCTAGATGCAAAATGGTATAAATTCTTTGGTAGAGGTGGAGGTGGAGGTGGAGGTGGAGGAGGAGTTTTGAAGGTCCGACTGGGTGTCTAGGTTGTATTGGAGGGATGGAAGAAGTCTTAGTTATACATCTTGCAGAAAACGCGGGACCAGTTAAGAGACATCGGGACAAGTTCAGTACCGTGATGAATATTCAGTTTGGTATAGTAACTTCTGTGACGGGCCCTAGGTCGGTTCAGAACATTGCTCAGAGGAGCATTAGTGATTCCGCTTTGCCACCAATTTCAGCGGATACACTGTGCTCATTTGTTGGGGTTGGACTCATGGAGCGTAGGTACCATGGTGTCAATAATATCTGGGATGCTTTTAGAGACGTTGAAGGCGACAGTTCTAGCAATGGGCCTTCTAACCCAGCATGTGATATGATTTCTACTACAGTGTGTGTTTCGACCTGTTTGATCGATAGTAATTTCTCGGTGAAATTTTGGGAACCCAGAATTTGGGTTCAGGTGTCGCTTGTGGACACCTTGCAGAGGACGATGATTTGGCTTAGAGAGTTTTGATTACTTGTGTTGATGAGATTAGCTATTTCGATGCAGACAGATTTGAAATCTTGGAGTTTCGTTCGTGCACCAGAATTTGGGTCAAGGTAGAGATTCTTGAATTTGTGACCCAAATTAGGGTGGATTTTTTTTTTTTAAATAAATTATTTCCTTATATTTCACGTGATTTTTATGAAAATATATTCTTTTCTTATTTCACATTACTTCCATCTTTATGCTATGTCATGTACCTATAAATAGTAGTGAACTTTTTCAATTTTTTTCAAGCAAGAATTGATAAGTTCTTATATTTCTCTTCATATTGTCAGTTAATATATATCGTTCCTCTACGATTAACTCTCTTTGTTAATTTTTTTACTTTTAAATCTTGTTTCTCGTTGAAATCTTCATTACTTCATATTACGTCATTAATCTCATTCTCTATAATCCGGAAACAAACTAAAGTTACCAAGGAGGTTATGTTTTCATTTTGATGTGTTATTTTGTTACATCTTTTTCATTGATCCCATATCATGGGATAGTAAATGATGTATCTGACCTCAAGGGCGAATGAGAATGTCCAAACATTCAAGTGCACTTAACTCGGGTATAATATGCACGACCTAAATTAGTCTCTTAAGAAGGGAACAAAACACAAATTAAACAGTCTAATGTGTACACAGTTATCATTTTGAATTTGGAAAGTATTTTTCTAATGTACTCAAGATATTGAAACCCAAACCAGGCTTGGAATTCTTTATCTTTTGGAGGCAAAGGTATATGTTTGATTTGTCAAATTAATTATCTAAGTAGGTGTTCAAAAGGTTCATAAGCTACTGTTTCTTGTCGGAGTAATCTTATATTTTTAAAATCTTAAAATTTCTTCCCCAATTCCGTGCAGCATCCTCCCCCACCACCGGTCACAAAAATTTATAATAGCAAACCGAGACCAACATAGAAGAAATGTAAAAATAAAAACAAATAAAATCTCATGAATAATTTGGAAAAAGATAGTGACGAAAATGTAACACTGTAAACTGGGTGATTGACGGTGATTTCAACCTCCAAAAATTGGAAAAAAATAATAATAAAATACTGAATGAAGAAACAAAAGAACAAACAGAAAACGGATTTAATGAACAGGATCAAACGAAGCTTAGCATGAACTTGCATAATTAAGCACATTGAACACAAAATCTTAGTAGCGCAGAACAGTAAACGAAAATGAGAAGATAAGCTAGAAGAGAGAAGGAAACCGTAACCTCAATTTCGATCTTATCTATATCGCTCGATGGGAACCAGAATGAATGAATGTGAAGACAGTAGTTTTCATCTACGTATCAGCATTTTATAGCACACTCCGGAAGCTAGATGGGTCCAATGGCTAGAATATTTTTAGGCTGTATTTGATTACATTTATTTTTCACGGAAAATATCAATTTTTTACTCAAATTCTTACTTCAAGTGTTTGATTGTTATTTTTTTTCATGAAAAATATTTTTCGACTTTTGAAAATATGTCTAATTTTTCTTGTTTTTAAGGAAAACATTTTCCTTGAGTAGAGGTGGTTTTTATTTTTCACAAAAGATGGAAAACTTTTTCTTTTTTAGATGATATTTTTCATGTCAATCAAACACACCCTAATAGAGTTAATTGTTCCTATGGTAACTTAGTCCATGTCTCTTATTAATCATTAAAGTTTAAAATATCGAATTTTGATTACTGAAGTTAGATTCATATTTTTGATTACTGACTAAAATTTAAAATATCAAATTTCAGCAATTAAATTTTGAAAAATGTTGTACGTTACTTACTAAAAATTTGATATTTTTCAAAGTTCAACATTTATACTAGTGAGTAATCTAAGTATTTTTCAATGTTCAATGACCAACACTCAACATTTTAAACTTCGGTAAGCAATTGAAGATATGGGCATAAATTCAGCGATCAAAACTCAACATTTTAGACTTCAGTAACCAATCAAACACATGGGCCAAAGTTCAATGGCCATTGGATCAATTAATTCATGTTTTTACGAAGTACCAAACGGCTTGATTCGATCCATGATGACTCCAGCTCTTTATTTTTTTATTAACTGAGCAAGCTCTTCTTTTTTTTTTTTTTCTTTTTTCTAACTCTTTATGAGGTTATTTATTAATTTATTTATTTAAAAAAAAAAGTAAATTGGCTCATGCTACACATACAGGTTCAGAGACGGGTGGGACGCATGTTGACGCGTAATTGAGCAGTTGGAAAAATTAAAACAAAAAACACAAATCATTTGCCATCAAATTAGTCTTTCTCATTCTTCCTTATTTTTAAGTCTGGTTAAGTGGCTTTATTCATATTTAATTTGAGGTCAAACACTGCGAAATGTCATGTTTAAATGAGAATTATTATTATTATTCGTCCACTCCAGGCTGAAAGATTATTCTCTTCTTCTTTTTTTAATTTCCAAAAAAAAAATGTTTTCATTTATTAATTAATGCCACAATTTTAAAAGCGCCAATAAAAGAAATGTAATTAATGTTGACTTAGAAGTCAAAAAAGTTTGAAAGTTATTTATAATCCACTTAAATTATAAATAAATAGTAAGCAAATGAATAATACTTATAAATTTTACAAAATATATAAATAAAAAGTGATTCGATCGATAATAAACAAATGATAAACGAATGACAAACAAGGACGTTGATGGTCAAGTGAATCTTATGTCTTGACTAGAAAATTATATTTAACTTCAGGGGGAAAAACAACCAAACAAAAAACCAAAAAATCACATTACTTTAAATCTTGACATTATAAAAAGTGGCATTTAAAACGTACCCCCGAAGTGATTTGATATATATTTAAACTTTGTTTGACATTCATTAAAAAGAATTTTTTGATTAAAAATAAATAAATTTTTGAATAGCGATTTGTTTGAAGAATGCAATTTACATTTAAGTGCGGAACATTTTATCATGATTGAAAATAAATTTTAGAAAGAAATAAATTGTAAAAATGATTGGCAAACAAGGGCTTAGCAAGAGACAGGATCGCAAGAGACCGTGGTTGGCCTCTTTATTGGGGTAATTTTAAGTTTGGACAAGTCATTTAGCCATTTTTTCACTTTAACCAAAAAACTTTGTCAATCATCAAAATGGCCTTTTATTGAGTAAAAGACAAATGTCCTTAAGTAATTTATATAAGGAAAGTGATATATGTACATAATTGTCTACATAATGGTATTCATAATTAAACGTGGCACTGGATCCAACATTTAATTCAAATCTCACACTTGCATATTAATAATCGGATGATTGTTACATTATATTATGGACACCATTATGTTCAGTAATTATGTACAAATAGAATTTTCCTCTGTACAATTACAAAGATAGAATTCTATTTCAAAAGACAAAAATATCCTTAAGTTACAAATTAAAAAACCAAACACTTTTCACTTTATATTTAATTATTTATTTTAAACAATTACTCGAATTAAAAAAATTAATATTTAACTTATTTTCTTGTTTAAATATTTCATTAATTAATTATCTTAATCGGTTATGTATATTATTTATTTAATATTTAATTTTTTTATTTAATTATTTATTTAATCACTTGTTTAAATAAAAAATTAATATTTAATTTGATTTCTCATTTAAATATTTTATTAATTTATTATCTTAATTAATTATATATATTTAATAAATTATTTAATTATTTATTTTAAACACTTATTCAAATAAAAAAATTAATATTTAATTTGATTTCTCTTTTAAATATTTCATTAGTTAATTATCTTAATTGGCCCTCATTTAATTATTTATTTTAAACACCTACTCAAATAAAAAAAAATTAATATTTACTTTGGTTTCTCGTTTAAATATTTTTTCTATTAATTATCTTAATTGGTTATGTATATTGTTTATTTAATATTTAATTATTTTATTCAAATAATCACTTATTTAAATAAAAAAATTAATATTTATTTTAATTTCTTATTTAAAAATTTCTTTAATTAATTGTCTTAATTAGTTAGGTATGTTATTTATTTATTGTTTAATTACTTTGTTTAATTATTTTATTTAATCACTTAATTAAATAAAAAATTAATATTTAATTTAATTTCTTATTTGGATATTTCATTAATTAATTATCTTAATTAATTATGTATTTTATGCATTTAAAATTTAATTACTTTATTTAACTATTTATTTAATCACTTATTTAAATAAAAGAATTAGTATTTATTTTAATTTCTTATTTAAATATTTCATTAATTAATTATCTCAGTTAATTATGTATATTCTTTATTTAATATTTAATTACTTTGTTTATTTATTTATTTAATCGCCAATTAAATAAAAAAATTATATTTAATTTAATTTCTTATTTAGATATTTCATTTATAAATTATCTTAATTAATTGTGTATATTATGTATTTAATATTCCATTACCTTATTTAATTATTATTTTAATCACTTATTTGAATAAAAATTTAATTTTTAAATATTAATTAATTATTTAAATATTTCAGTATTTAATTATCTTAATTGGTTATGTATATTATTAGTCATTAATATTTAATTACTTTATTTTAATTGCTTGCTTAAATAAAAATATTATACCATAATGTACAAGTGACATAATATTATTGAAGAGTTGAAAAACAATTTTTTCGATCCTTCGCTCATAAAATTTCACATATTCATTATGGACATCCTTATGAATTAGTATATGAAAAATTATCCAATATTGAATTTGATTTCTCGTTTAAATATTTCTTTATTAATTATCTTAATTTGTTATGTATATTTAATTACTTTATTCAATTATTTATTTTAAAACCTATTCCAATAAAAATTAATATTTAATTTTAATTTCTTCTTTAAATATTTCATTAATTAATTATCTTAATAGGTTATGTACATTGTTTATTTAATATTTCTTTACTTTATTTAATTATTTAATTAATCACTTATTCGAATACAAAATTAATACCAAATTTAATTTATTCTTTAAATATCTCATTAATTAATTATCTTAATTGATTACCTATATTATTTATTTAATATTTAACTAAAACATAAATCACATTATGTATGAGAATATCTAATAGAGATGGGAGTCGAACATTAGGCACGGTCACATTTCAAGACATCGAACATTATTCAAGAATGTCGAAAATACATTTCCTCTACGAAATGAAATCGAGTGGGAAATTCTCGATTATAGTATGTTACTCTCTACCCAACGGATGTGTAACATTTATTTAAATCGTATGTACTCTCTATTTATAGTATATTATTGGTTTCCTCAATTTTCTCTATTTATAGTATATTATTGGTTTCCTCAATTTTCTCTATTTATAGTATGTTATTGATTACATGAAAATTGACTCAACGAATATGTAATTATCTTAATTGGTTACGTATATTATTTATTTCATATCTACTTAAATCGTATGTCACTGATTTCCTCAATTTTCTTTATTTATAGTGTGTTATATATGTAATTAAGAATAATTAGTTATTTATTATACAATTACATAAAAACTAAAGTATTATAAACATTTTAAAAAATGCTTACATTTTAAATTATTACAACTACGGATCATAATGTACATAAAAGAAAGCTTTCATTTAAAAAAATGCTTACATTTTAATGTGTATTTAGTTTATCAACTCTACGTTACGTCTGATGCTAAAAATTCAATATACTTCAATTTGATCTAAAAATCTTATCCGAATTCGATGAAATTAGTGAGAGATGGATTTAGGGTCTTAATTCGATAATCTAATCGAGATTCGAATCTGACATCTGTTAACTAAATGAATAAAATATAAATATAGGTCGATCCAATCCGATATTATTAAAACATTTCAAAAGGAGTCTTCTTTAGAAATGAGTTAAAGGAACACCACTTAAATATAAATAAATATATATATATATATATATATAAAATAAGTGAGCCCATCAAGTTAGTTGAAATATTTTTTAAAATAAATAATTAATTAAAATCTTGTTGAGACTATGATTTTCAATAAAAAATAAATAAAATCTTTATTTTTCTAATTTTTTCAATTTTGGATCTAATATCTGATAACATAGTTAATCGGATATGAATTTAACATTCAAATATTTGTTGGATTATTGGATCGGATCAAATAGGATAATTATTCTTAACAGATCGAATCGGATTTGAGTAGATCCGACTCATATATATGATCCATTTATAGCCCTAACTTCAATGCGAAATTCCACAATCGCACTGGGTCAAATTCACGGAAGAGGTTGGGCAACGTATCGTCGACGGATGTTCTCTTCTTTGCCTTGATCGTACACGGAGAAACAATGTGTTGTGACAGC